TGCAGCCCAATACAGGTATCTCGGGGACCCCTATTACGCACTTTTGCAAGTTCACGTATAATTGGGCGTCACCCAGAGTCTGCAACACAGCGTCTAAATGACGCTTGTGCGACTCAATTGCACTCAGACCGTCCTCCGCCCTACTATGCACGAATACATCGTCAAAGTAATGGGGCGCGTAGGCACGGTGCTGACGCATCACGTGAGCCACTACTCGGTTGAATGTTGCCGTAGCATTTTTCAACCCTTGTGGCATCACAAGCCACTCCCATAGCATACCGCTTGGGGTGCTTACTGCTGTTTTGGCTACATCGGTATCTCTCATGAGAACCTGATAGTAGCCATCCTTCAGATCCAGCGCGGAAAAGATAGTTGACTTTCCCATGGAATTCAACAAAACATCTTTCCGCGGGATCGGCGTTGGAGCCAGAATGGTGGCCGTTTTCAGCTTATTATAAGCATGACCCACGCGCCATCCACCTGTTGCTTTACGCAAACAGAAGGTCGGGCTGCAGTGAGGCGACTTGCTCTCACGTACATGTCCCGCCTTGGCTCGCTTGTCGAAGAACTCATTGATGTAATCGACTTGTTCCTTCGGCAACGGCCATTGCCTGGTCACACAATACTTGGTGCCAGGCTCCAGGTCAATCTCGTGCCTGATGCCCCTATCGGCCGGTAGGCGGCTCGGCACTTCTTCTGGAAGCAAATGGGCTGTCCTTCAAGGCATCCCAGCCTTGAGCAGCGAACCGTTTCTTTTTGTCGGTCTCCAAGACGCTCTCATCCATTGTGGATGAAGAGCAACAGTCCACCACGTTCTCTTCTGGAACTGGTGCGACTATCTCGTGGATCTTTCCTTCCTTTAGTTCGGACAGGAACAGATCCCACGTCATCTCCGAGAGATTTACTATCTCCTCGTCAGATGCCAAGACAAGTTGGAGCACCTCAACTGAGGATGCCTCCGGCATTTTGTCTTCGACGGCCTCGAGCAACTCGTTCCTAGGTCCGTCCTCTTGGACCGAGACTGATCCAAGGGTCACTCGTTTCGACGTTCCCTTGACCGTCTTAATACGTCTGGTGCTCGTTCTTCAAGTCACCACAACCTTTGACTTGGAAGTAGGTGTCGTTGCTATCTCAGCTAACGCACTCCTTCCAACCACACCAGGCTCTTGGCTCTGTGCCGGTTCTTGTGGCGCTTGACTTCCTGTCAGCCCACCATCAACTGACACAGGCTCTCGGCTATGTGCTGGACTATTGGACGCATGACTACCTGTTATCGCCCCATCCACTACACCAGTCTCTTCGACCTGGGTAGGAATATGTGTCACCTGGCTTTCCGCCAGTGCACTTCCTGCTACACCACTCCTTTCGAGCTGGGTAGTTCCTGGTGTCGATTGACATACCTTCATCGCACCCTCGACTGTGTTGGACACAGCATCAGCCACATAAGCCTCTCGCAAGAGCACATCCTTTCCGGTGTCTTGCGTAGAGCTAGCGACTGTGCGTGTACGCCAGTCTATCCATGGTTGGTGTTTAGCCAACCAAGGCATGCCTAGGATGAGGTCGTACGGACTCTCCATACCTAGCACTGTGAACTTCTCTTTACAGGAGAAGTCACTGAAACTGAAGGCGAGTTCAACTTGAACTCCCTCCGATTTGACGAGCGCGCCGTTCGCTAAGCGAACGTTCGCCTCTTCTCGCTTGCCATCCTGGAAAAGCGACTCATAACTCGACGGTCTCTTTTTCAGAGCCGCGAGCTTCACAAAGTTTTGTGATGCACCCGAATCCAGGAGAAGGGTCATCACTTGGTTATAGCCTCGTACTCGAGCGCTATAGACCAAATCTGTAGAGTTCCGACCTTTCGGAACCTCAGGGACTATGCTACCCATTTGTTCGATCACTCTGAACATAGGGATAGCTTCAGAGTCCGCGACAGTAGGGCATCCCGCCCCTACTGCGCTCCCGCATTTCCCGACAGGTGCTGAACCCGTGCGTCGTGCACGCTGGTTTTTCGCACCTTCCTTCGGGTTGGGACTTGCTGGCTGCCTTAGTACCAGCAGCTACCTTGGCGTAGCAGCGAGCCATCATATGGCCTCGCTTGCCGCACTTGTAGCAGATCACATCTGCATTGCCTAACTCCATAGGAGTGGCATCAGACTTCTCGGACGACGGCCTGTAATAGGCTGTCGCCGAGGCGCTGTTGTAGGATTGCTCCTCAACTAAGGCAATGTCAATTGCCTCTTCCATCGTCGCTGGCACCTTTCTGAAAAGGGCCTGAGGCGATGGGCCATGCCTAAGTCCATTCATGAACGTGGCTACCTTGATACGCTCTGGTATCGGTTCCCCATTGATGGACGCCGATGGACGCCGAACAGCGAACGTATCTCCTGCACAAATTCTTGCAGAGAGCGTTTCGCCTGTCGTGCTCCAAAGAAGCGCGCCATAAGCAACACTTTATTATTAGGCGGCTGGTACATGGCGCAAAACTTTGCCTTAAAGATCGCCCATGATGGAAATGCATCAGCATTTGCCATCAGCGCAGAGTATGCCCACTCTGACGCTTTGCCACGCAAGTTGGACATGGCATACGACACCATTCTGGTGTCGTCTTCGATGAGCTGCGCCACTCCACATTGCTCCACTGCTAATAGCCAGTGAACAATCGTGTGAGGGCTAGTTCCATCGAACTTCGGAGGGTCCATCCGAATGGGCCTTGGTTGAGCAGGCCGGGCAGAGAGCGTCTCAACAGTCCTGTTGAGCGCCTCATTACGTGCCTGCTCAAGCCTAAGCTCATCCTGAGTCTTAGTGATGGACTCAGCGGTGGCTTGGCTGTTTACCTCGGACGCGTTTCTACGCTGTCCGAGCACAAACGCCTCGAATTGCTCCAACTGAGCAACATGTTGTTCAGGAGGATAATGCAAGAGATTGACCAGGGCTTGTTCACCAAGTCCCTGCGCCATATGCTCTTCCAAATCGCTATGATGTTGGGAGAGGTGAGGGAAGTCACTCCAGTCCATGTTAAGGACCATCTTAACCACACGCACGCTCAGAGAGACGGGTCGTGGAAAGGACTACTAGTGCTACCAATTCTAGAAGGGCACTTCTACGAAGTTGCCTCGTGCTGCTTAGCACACACCTTCAGCACAAGCGAGGAAGCGGTTAGACCGTCTTACCTTCGCGTGCGAGGGTGGTTATGTGGTTGGTCGACTGCTTAACCAGTCGTACCACCAGTTGCCTCTCGCTTAAGCGAGAGTGCAACGAACTTCTGAACAAGAAGGCACCGACGTCACGTAGAAGCTTTTCAGCTTCTCGTGCGCGGTGCTTCGGTGTTAGCTAATTCAAGACTGACCTATGGTTAATTAATTATAACTAAATATAAACTTAATTACTGATTGACTATATATATAGAGATCAGATACGCGACTTTTGAGAAGCGTATCTTGACGCATGAACTTAAATCTAGATTTAAGTTTGCAACTGACGTCCTTCTGAGACGTCGTGATGCCTAGCTTCAACTAGCGTCATCCCTTCTCATGTGAATCCATCAACGGATATCACATTCACGAGGGTGGATCACATTTGTGTATTGCACCCAAGTGACTGGTCAAAAGTAATCATGGATACTTTTAGACCAAACTTTAAGTATATTACTTAATATTTACGTGTAACTAGATACCCTGTTACACTAACCGCTTCCTCGCTTGTGCTGAAGGTGTGTGCTAGTAGCACGAGGCAACTACGTAGAAGTGCCGTCTACAATAAAAGCGCTTTTGATTCATTAATAAAACACGCTCATGCCAAATAGAACTATTCTTTTTATAAGACACACTTCACGCAAGGTACTGGCGCATAATCTTTATAGGCTGAGCGATTTCGCTCATCGTGAACGTATCGGCTTCGTGCCGACACACCTTATTGTAACGACGATTTCGTTCAAGCCTCGACAACTAAAGTCGGAGCAGTGACTTTGGCTGTAGTGAAGTTAGCACCTGTTTTCGCAGAGTCTGCGCCTGTACTTCTAAGTCACAATCCATTTTGTGTTTGCGCCATACGGCTACCATCCACGCGCTTGACGACATACTAAAAAGGTTGCACCGGCTGCATCGTTTGTAAACAGGTTTGTTTGTTTCAAGTTGGGACTACATCACATGCTGGGCTACATCAACATGTACAGTACATGTATACTCCATATGTTATTGTTTTCCGCAAATCTAGTACTTTGAAAGCATCGAATGCTTCGAGAAATCATTGGCGAGGAATCGCAGTTGCATACACGAATTTCTCTTGTTACATGTTTTAGAGTCGTACTAAATGTTAGTGGTGCAGTCCGTTGGCACGAAGCTGTTCAATTTCGAGCGGACCAATGTGAAATCTTGTCATGAACGATAGTGATGTTTACAAGGATTTACTACTGTACGTGGGGACAACAGCGTCGAAGTCAATGAGCAGACCGTCGTTCAAAGCTTAAGGTATTGTCCATCCAATCTTAACAAGCAATCAAACCCGTTCTTGGGGATCCACAACAAAATCTTATTAACATGACGCAGCAGACTTAGATACCCGAGCTAGACTTCAGCTAAAAGGCACATCTTTTTGCTGATTGACGAATCGGATTGTTGGGGGTGGTTGACACTGAATACGTACGCGTCATCTTGACGAATCTTGGCCTCTAGCTCACCTTCATTTTCATTCTAAAACCTAATAAACCGATTTGTGTGGTTGGATTCTTTTTTAAAGGTCGGATTACACCAACATGTCACATTATTGTAACTGTTGCCGGAATAATCTGTGCAATGTAACAACGTGGCTGTGTGCCGTACATTAATGTAGCCAGATTGACCTTCTGTCACATTTGTATTGTATTTATCAACCAATGCAAAGTACCTTATGTAACGCGTTTTCAACCAATCCGATGGCGGTACACTGTCTACCCATCGAATCAGTCCATCGTTCGACTGTCACTTTCCAGCCCTCTTCCAGCAAGTAACTTATCTCCAAGCAATATGGGTACGTTAAATTCTTCATGAATTTTTTCTTCTTATTAGTTGTAATACTCAATCAACCAATTCTCTTTTTTTTTGCAGTGGTTGAATCCAGAGTGTACGAATCAGATGAAATCAGGTCGAATGCAGAATGATGGTAATATGAGAATGACAGTCAATATGTTGTCTAATAAGCAGGAAGCGCGAACGTGACGCTGTGGATGTCGAGCCACAAGAAGCACAAAAGAAGAAAATTGGTGGTGCTTTGGCAAGTAAACGCTGGACACCAGAACAGGACGAAGCGCTAAAAAAGGCAGTGGCGGAGCTTGGCCATCGTAATTGGATGGTAGGGTTATAAAAGGGTTACACAAGTTACAAAGGGGTAGGGTGAAGGAGGTATTGATTGATGTTCATTGGTGTGACAGGCCGTAGCCGAACAAGTCCCTGGACGTGACAATGCTCAGTGTCTTCAACGCTGGAATAAAGTATTAAAACCAGGACTTGTAAAAGGTTCATGGTCACTTGAAGAAGATGAATTGCTTATGGAGATGATGCTCAAGGGTTATGGCAATTGGCAACAAGTGTCTAATAATATTCCAGGACGAACGTACGAAAAAGATAAAGTGGAGGGAAAAAAGAGGGATGAAGGGAGAGAGAGTTTGACGTGATGTTGATGATGTTGTGGCCTTTGTAGGGCAAAACAATGTCGTGAACGATGGAGGAATCGATTGGACCCGACGATTAATAAATCGTAAGTTTTGTCTTGTCGGATACTTGACTGGGGATCTTTGTTTTGACAAAAAACATATTACTGCAATTGTTTTGCTAGGCCATTTACAAAGGAAGAAGATATAGCCATTCAACATGCATACGAGAAGTATGGTAATCGTTGGACGCAGATTGCAGAACTTTTGCCGGTTAGACACGATGGAATTGTGTAGCGTTTTGCTTGCTAAGCTTTTGAGCCTGATTTAGTATATTTGAGTATGTGCAGGGTCGCACGGGAGATGCAGTCAAACTTCGATGGAAAGCGCTGAACCCTAATCAGAAGACGTACACGAAGCTCGGCCGCCCGAGGCTTCTGAATTCGGATGATACCCCGTCAGTTTCTGTTTCTCCGGTCAGGCCTGTGATGTCATGCACATTGCCAATAAAATTGGAGGTTCTAGACCCGCTACTATCGGTAAGTGACAATCAGGCCGACACGACCCAAGCTACTTTGGAGCCAATACTGGATCCTCTTGAAGATAAGACGGATGAGCGAATGAGTCAGGAGGACGTGATGATTCTTAATGAGTTTTTGCGCGGCCACTCAAACAATTCGCTTGAAAAAGGCAGCTTTAGGAGCATGCTTTCTGCCACAAGCTTGCGTGATTTTGGTGAAGAGATCGATGCTGCAATTTTGAGAATGTCGTCGCTGTCGGCAGTGCATTTACAGTCTGAATCATACACGGACGAGCCGACATCAAAAGTGTTACAAAATTCGCAGGGACGTGCTTCTCAAAGACTTTTGAACAAAATGCTGAGTCTCGGCGATACAAAGAGCGCGAGTCTTCGTTCAATTACGGACGATGTGGAGCCTGACGATTTATGGATCAATGGAGGTTTAACCCGGCACCTTAGTAGTTTGTCGGTAAACGATGATGGCATTTTCGAACAGCAGCTGCTTGACGGTAACCAGAAGTTGAACTCCATGGACTCGTTTGAGGAGGAACTTGCATCGCTAAACGATGCGGGCTCTTTGATGAGTCTTCCTTTGGACTTTGGCGACGAAAACAAGACTGATAGTGCCACAGCGGTTGCCGCGTATGATACAGTAGTGAACGGATCAGGACCATCAAGTGCTCCAAGTGCGTTGAATGGATCGTTTCAGCAGTTGATTTTGGAAAATGAGATCCCGGTTCACGATCCATCTTGCCAAGAAGTCGCAACTCTGGACAAAAAAATCATGACTGCACAAGATTTCTACAGCAGCACAGTTCCACACGACCAACTATCATCAGCCCAGCGCTTTGAGATTTAGAGAAGCCTAAAAGCGAGAGGCATTACCACATGCTCGTGAATGTGACATATATGGGCAACAGCTTCTTGTTCGCTTCATTGGACTTATCTATTCGCACAAGAATTTACAAATTTTCCACCAGCTTTATCGTTTCTCAGCCAGGGCAGTGAAAAGAAGAAGATGCGACGTTGTTTGCTATTTCGTATTTCGTTCTACCGAATCGTCCTTACTTATTAAACATGTATTCCTTTGCTAACTGTAAGTCCCTTAGCACCACACAATTACAAACTTACCGAAGAACCTACCAGAATCTGCATCATAATGCTGTCCAAGCGCATTTTGACCCTGTGGAGCCGCTCTAACGGCGGTTTGTGAACACGTTTTTCATTCACGTCTCCTTTATTCAGTGCTAACTATCGTCTGTATCGTAACTTGAGCAGCTTTTCACAATTCGCTTTCAGTACCTTTCAAGACTTTCTACAACACGCAGGCTAATAGTCGCTTAGTAGCTATAGGTGACCGTGTGTCATTGCATATGGAAGGCAAACTATCGGGTGGTGACTTACTACCAAAGACTCATGAGAATGCCCCATTGAAATTTATTGTGGGTAGTGGTCAGATCCTTCCTGGTGTCGAAAAAGCTGTGCAAGGAATGATCAAGGGAGAGTCCAAGACGGTGGACATTGAACCAGTCGACGCTTTCGGTGTCGACAATAAGATTCTGACAGTGCCGCTCAAAGAGATGAACTTGCCCGAAAAAGAACGGGAGATGCTTGCTGTCGGTCAAATACTGGAGCTCGCAGGCGGTGAACGTGCTCGTGTTGTGAAGCTTATGGACAACACCATGGACATTGACCTGGCACACCCGTATGCTGGCCAATCGCTGACGGTAACGCTGGAGTTGGTCGACCATGAGCTGCATGAGGAGTTGCACAAGAATGAACGTCTGGTACTGCCTCAGGTAATTGAAGATGGCGACAAGGTGACATTCCCTCAGCGTGGAGATACGATGATCATGCATTATACGGGCAAGTTGGCCAAGGACGGCAAGGTCTTTGACTCTTCGCATGACCGTAACCAGCCGTTCCAATTTCAAATTGGTGTCGGCCAGGTCATCCGTGGCTGGGATGAGGGCGTCATGCGAATGAGCAAGGGTACTAAGGCGATACTCAATATTCCGTCGGCTAAGGGCTACGGCAAAGCTGGCGCTGGTAATGTCATTCCTCCTGATGCTGACCTAATTTTCGAGGTTGAGATATTGGACATTGTTCGTTGTTAAACATGCAGATCGAATCATGCTTGTTTGAGCTAAAGTTAAGTCATATCAGATAATGTTAATTATTGGTAGCTTGAGCAAACAGGCTTCTCCTTCCTTAAACGTCTGCATTTGTCATTTCATCGTCTGACTCGTCCAAATACGCCTTGAGATCTCCATACTTGGCAACGTCTCCAATCACAATAATAGCAGGAGAATACTTCTTCCCCTCGGTCTTGGCTGCAATGTCCTTTAGCATTCCCAACATCACCAACTGATCTGGATTCGTACCCGAGTGAATTAATGCCACATGTGTATCCTTGTCCTTGCCACTGTCCATTAAACTCTCGCAAATACGATCAATTGTCCTCGTAGCCATTAATAACACAATTGTCTCAATCTTGGCCAACATGTCAAAATCCATTTCTGCTGGGTTGTGTCCTGAAGTCACAACGAAATTTGTGCTCAACGTCTTGTGTGTCACTGGAATATTGACCATAGCAGGCACCGCTAATGCCGAAGAGATACCCGGAATGACTTTAAAATTGCATTGAGCTTGAACCAAAGCTCGAATTTCTGAATGAACGCGGCCAAAAATCATGGGGTCGCCTCCTTTGAGTCGAACGACAATGTGTCCATCTCGACTTTTTGACACTAGAATGGCATTAATGTCCACCTGTTTTGCCGAATCTTTTCTTCCTCCTCGTTTGCCTACGTATATAATTTGACAGTCTCTTGGAATTAATGCGTAGATTTGAGGTCCCACAAGGTCGTCGACAACCACAACCGTCGCACTTGACAATAGTCGACGAGCTTTAAGTGTCAGCAGCTCAGGATCTCCCGGTCCAGCACCCACAAGATACACACAACCTCTTAAAGCTTGATGACGCAATTGTCGTGTACGTAAACGAGGGAGAATCAATTGACACACAAGAAATGAGACCAATGCTCCAGATACAGCACCAAGAGCTACGCCACGCATGACTGGTGCACAAGATGAGTACACTAATGATGTGGTCCACGGAAACTGGAGCCGGACATTAAAAATGGCTACAGTACTAAGATGGCTACAATATTTAAGTGTTATGTTATAGTGATATCCCTACTCAAGTATGACTTCAACGTCGATAACAAGACAATGTCAGTGTTCAAATGACTGATGCTCGTCGATGGGGCTCAGTATAGAATCTTCTCGCTGCTTCAGTCGTCGTCGGCTAAAGTCAGTAACAGACAGCTGTCCTTTCGTACTATTTCTCATCGCAAATTCCGGTGTCGAGCCGTGCTTTTTGAGATACTGAATGCGTTTAAGCGTGTGCTTGACTTTACGCTCAAGCTGCTCGAGTTCTTGCGGCTCTAGCGTCTCGATTCCGCAGCCACTGAACAGCATGAGCTGTCGCACTTCATCTTCCGAGTCCGCTAACTCTTGACGAAGATCGTGGATTTCGTGCTGTAGCTCCTGCATCGACTTTTTTCTGTCATCAATGTGAACATCAGTTGCAGCTACACGACTCGATTCTTTCCTGGCATTGTCTTTGTCTAACGTTGTTCGACGACTCAGGCGCATCTTTTTGAACACTTTTCGTGTTCGTGTCACTGCGACTCCAGGTCGGACGTACAGCTGTACTACCACAAGGCAACCCGATCCAATATACACTGCCAACAATAACACCAATAGCTTGTTACCTGCTAAAGATGTGACAATAGCTTTAAGCTCATCGTCTCTTGTCGGAGACAAAGTCACCACATCACTCCATTCTCCGTCGATCTCTGTGGCAAAGAACCCCATTGGAAGTAAAAATCCCAGCACCGACTTTTTTGTCTGCTTTGCCTTCATTCTCACACGAAAACCCAATTCATGCTCCAATGGCAAGTCTACAAGTACAAGAAATGGATCCAATGAGGTTACTCTTCGATTGGCAGCATTCCATAGACCATCAAGCCCCCAGCCTGTGACCCAGATTTGCACTTCATACAAGAACGATTCCAACATGGAATCACCTGATGCATTATCTGAATCTCTTTCCTCGTCGTTTTTTTCCGTCTCAAGTCGTGCATTCTTTGCACGAGCATGAACAGCCAATGGATGATCTTCCCACGTCACTATGACACTAGAAACCTCTGCCGAATGATGTTTAGTTGTTGTAGTTGCCAGGAAATCCGTCAATGTCTTGTGAACATTAGCAATAGAATTGGTCAGTGAATTCTGATTCTTTTGTTTTTCGGTAGTAACGTCCTCGTCCATATAGCGGACACGGTGAATCGATAGATTAAATAGTCGAAAATCTATTGTAGAAATCGTAGGCGGCTCCGAAGAAGAGGTCCTAGATTTCCAAAGGAACAAGTCGAGGGGGGTCAATATGGTGGAAAATGATAACGACGAGACCGGAGACGGCGTTGTTAAGGACTGGAGAGCGATTGTTGACAGAAAAATACATATTGCATACAGTCCAAAGCTACCAACAGCTCGTAACGGGCGACGTTTCATTGTAAGATCAGAGAATACTAATTGATTTCAAATGGAGCTGTCCACTTGATGGTGGTTTGAGAAATGGACTGTTGATAGGGTAAAGATGTAGAACTTAGCAGATATGCATATGATAAGGGTAACCGATTATAGAGTACTTTTGGGTAGACGTATGATACTAATTTTGATCTATCGGAATCGACTATTAGAGGCTATTCAATTTGAAATAATGCTTAGTACAAATTACGATGACGTCGAGCCCGAAAGTGACGATGTTAGAGGAACAGAGGGTCGCATTAAAGACATTGTCACATTAGTTGCTACAAATGGACAGTATAAGGTGGCCTCATGACAATTTTAAATACATGACAACCTATATTCCTTACCAAAAGTATCAATCTGACACTTTTGTCAGAGATAAATGTATATGTAGCAACAATTGATTGGAAATGATCACTTGGCTTCCCCTAATTTCATAGTAAAGATTTGTTACTACGTAGCTAAAGAGTCCTGTCAGAGATCTATGACCAGCTAGTTAGTTTGATGTAGCGAGGAAATTAAGATGTATCCGCAAAGAGAAAAACAACCTCTTTTTATGTATGTGTACAATGGAATAATCAAGAGTCAAGTAAATGAAATACCCGGGAACTATCTGCAGAGTATTTGATTGCACGCAACCATCTGCGTTCTATAAAATGTTAACGTATTATGCATTCGGTATCGCGTTGACCAACTACAAGTATTGCCGATGGGTGAGAGCCAAAGTGAACCCCCCTAGATTCGAGACAAGTCTGAGCACTTCAAATTTCGATCATTTGTAATTTAAGAAGCCATAAAGTTGACACCTTCCAAACATTTTTGCTACGCCATTCATTCAAGCTCTCGTGGCGAAATACAGTGTACGTCTCAACCCAATCTTAAGTTGGCGTTATATTGTATTCAGCACCAGAACTTAAGAACATGAAAGAGCCCTTCTTCACTCTTGTCCAGAAATTGATGCATGTTACTTTTTTCGATGGCAATACGGGAAAAAAATGATCATTTGGGTTGGATACTATGACTTAGGAATCATTACCTTTGAACGGTTAGATTTTTTGTGGACTTATAGCTTCTAATAGTAGACATTTAAACGAAAGGGAGCACATACGTGCTTTTTTATTGAAACGTGGAGTTTTGTCGTAATGTGCATAAGTTTCATCCCGCTATGCAAGTATCACGACTCTTGCTGCCATTTCTTATGGTTTTAACAGAGCTCCGCTTATGCTTAAGTTTGTACATGCACATTTCGTGATTACAATTGAGAGTGACACTAGGCCTAACCTTTCTTACATACGAAGATAGATCATCATCGTCCGAGACTTAACAAGTGCGATCGATATGTTCGACGTCTGTGGTCATTTACCTGCAAAAAGTAGTGGCTTTTATACATGCAAAATTCACAGCTAATGAACTGAACCATATATCTCATGCATAAAGTAGATTGCTTGACATTGTACTGAGTGGTTGTCTTTGTAGTTTAACTTCTTTACAAACAAAGGGAACAAAGTGCTTTGTAAAATTTAAATGCCGATATTTTCCTACTGGTGATTATGATAGAAAGCTATGCAACGTACAAGATTGACTCTTTGTTATAATGATTCTCTTTCGATCACTTTTGCTCAACTCAGTTCTTTTGAGTCGTTCTCAATGTCAAGCAACGCTCGTCACGTTTCTTTATCACGCTTTTCTTTCAACCTGTGCATGTTAGTCATGTACGCGGCGTATCCCAAAATAAACCTTTGTTGACCATGGAATATCTTAGTCAAGAGCTCGGGTGTCACGCCATGATTGTATAATTGACTGAATCGAAGTTGAAACGAAACAGTGCGATCATCCCCATTCATGTCTTCATTTTTCTCCAACTCCGAGCGCTCCTCTTTAACGCCCCTTAGCGATTGACGATCATCATATTCATTCGAAGCAGGAACCACTTTCCCATTTTCAGCAGCAACAGCGTTAAGACATGAAACAAGGGCAAATGCAGCCACCACAGCGACTGAAAATAAGCGCATTCTTGAGCAAATGGATGGTAACTTGGAAGACCTCGTAAAGGGTAAAATGCCAAATGATTAATGGGACAATAAACAAATCAATGGTAAAGATGCGGACGAGACGGTTGATGATTGATGCTCTATCTTCAGATGGAAATTGTAACACAAACGTCACGTGTACGTTGATTGCTGAGGCAAATGAATTTGCATACTCTCTAAAATTTTAGTATATGGATTCTACGAAAAAAACATTTTTACACTGAAGTATCTCACTTTATAGTATCACGTTTCGCGTTTGTTTTGTGTCAGTGGGAGTAGCTTCATAATAGACGGAAGTCAATTCATAGCTGTGCAATGAAAAAGATTATCAGATTACGGTAAGAGCCAGCGTAAGGACCCTTTGTCTTTTCTGGTCTTGAAGCAAGTAGAAGATGTGCAAACCTACTTTGATCATTTTTACTACCTTTTATTAGTTTGGGGATAAACTCGGAGTCAGAAATACAGACTTTGAAGAAGTGTGCTTGATAAATCATTCCGTTACGTTTTTTATTCCATACTGATGATACAATACCACTTACGCTTAGTTTACTTAAAATGCCGAACATCTTCTGATAAGACGTTTGTTGCAGATCACAATTATTCAGCCGAAGGTGCATACAGGACATTGAGTTCGCGAGAAAAAATGCGCCGGGTTTTACACCGATCATTTTCGATGGGCAACGGACGCTGAAGGGCTGGTCCGATCAAGCCACGTTCTAGGCAAGTTCGCTTTGTGGGACTGGAATACGTGCTCGGCGACCAGGCAAACGACATGAAGGCTGATGTAGTATAGCAGGAATTAGATGAGGTGATAACTGCTGTCGCTGTGCCCCTCACCCCGGTATTTCTAGGTTGTTGCTTCCCTTGCGGGTTGCACGCAGCACTGCCTCCCGTTGCGCACCAAGCGGAAAAAGCCTCCCCTATTACACCCCCCCCCCCATTTGGGGGACTTCTCGCTCAGGAAAAAGGGCCGGTGCAAGACTCTTAGGAGGTCTTCGTCTCTTGGCTCGAAGGCGCGAATTGGGAAGGACATTGCATAAGTTAGACCAGTTATGGTCAATCGGGCGTGATAGATGGATTAGGATACATCAGTACGTAAAAAAAGCAATGATTACTTTTATGCTTGTCATATGAGTGTAAAAGATGCAATGGTTAACTTTTTGCATGTCATATGAGTGCATCTGCTTATGTTGATCGCGAAACAGTGTTGTGACATCTGATGATCAGCTCATATAGAGCGCAAGAATGAGAAAGTCCAATTACATAAAGACAACTTGTTAAAATGGCTGTTTATTATGTATTAGAAGAAGAAATACCATTTTGCGTGTTTTAGTAACGAATATCACTAAAAATGTATTGCTGACTTTTATAGGTACAAATTTTTTTAAGAAAGTAGAATCAATTTGCGTTTTACATGTACTTAAAAATGTATTGCTGACTCCTTTGACTGGGAAGCGAGATTCCTGAGTATTTTAGCAGAATTTCAGCATAGCCCAATACAGAATTATTCCGTTTGCACGGCGACAATAATTTTTACCTCTAGCGAATGCATCAAGAAGATAAACACGAGACAAGATCAACGACTCCCGGACTACTCGTACCCGATGAAATTGGTGCATTTACAAAAGCTGTGGTGTGTACTTATCATAGAAGACTACGGTCGAGAATACCAAAGTACACGACAATTATTTATAGAAGTTGTTTACTTTAAGAGTAAGATTTTTTCGACAAGCGTTAGGTGTAGCTAGTATACTAACGCTTTTGCGCTTTTAGTTGTTGCAAATTGTCTTTTATTGCTTCGAAAGAATATGCTACTAAAACATGCAACAAGGCACAACCATGCGTTGTTCAATGAACAATATCGGAAACACCCTATGATTTGGAAATTCACGATATAATGTACTAGAATGGTGTACACTCGAAACTGACAAAGATTGTTAAGCATTTGACAAGGAAACAATGTGACATGCGTGACAATATGTTTGTCTCGCTCTGCAGCTTACATCTGCAACTACCCCTTCTACCAGGGATGCCCCACGCCACTGTGCTTCACCACCACGACCATCGTCGGCACTACTAGTACCAATACCTGAACAACGACATGGGTTGATGTTGACGTACCGCGTCCTCCACCTTCGATAGCCCCATTGCAAACGATTTGATACAGTATGACAAGTTTCTGGTAGTATTATTAATGCTGGCAAGGAGGTCGCCGATCTTATGGTGAAGATGGAAGCAGGTCGTTTTTTTGCATTATTATGTAGACCTTTGAATGCTTCTAAGAATTAACAAGAATGGACGGCTCACTTACCAGCAAATACCGCTTGATAGGCCAAGATGTGGTGTAGCAGGGCATCTAGTTACACGTAAACATTAAGTAATATACTTAATGTTTGGTCTAATAGTATCCATGATTACTTTTGACTTGTCACTTGGGTGCGATACACAAACGTGATCCACCCTCGTGAATGTGATATCCATTTATGGATTCACATAAGAAGGGATGACGCTAGTTGAAGCTAGGCATCGCGACGTCTCAGAAGGACGTCAGTTGCGATCTTAAATCTAGATTTAAGATCATGCGACAGGATACGCTTCTAAAGAGTTGCGATCCGATCTATATATATATAGCCAATCTGTAGTTAAGTATATATGCAGTTATAATTCATTAAATATAGCTCAGTCTTGAATTAGCTAACACCAAAGCACCACGCACGAGAAGCTTAAAAAGCTTCTATGTGACGTCGGTGCCTTCTTGTCTTAGAAGTTCGCTGCACTCTCGCTTAAGCGAGAGGCAAATGGTGGTACGACTGCTTAAGCAGTCGACCAACCACACAGATACCCTCGTACGCGAAGGTAAGACGGTCTAACCGCTTCCTCGCTTGTGCTGAAGGTGTGTGCTAGTAGCACGAGGCAACTTCGTAGAAGTGCCCGTCTACAATTGGTAGCACTAGTTGTCTTTCCCACGACCCGTCTCTCTGAGCGTGCGTGTGGTTAAGATGGTCCTTAATATGGACTGGAGTGACTTCCCTCATCTCTCCCAACATCACAGGGAGTTGGCAGAGCATATGGCGCAGGGACTTGGTGAACAAGCCCTGGTCAACCTCTTGCATTGTCCTCCTGTGCAACATGTTGCTCAGTTGGAGCAATTTGAGGCGTTGTGCTCGGACAGCGTAGAAACGCGTCCGAGGTAAACAGCCAAGCCACCGCTGAGTCCATCAATAAGACTCAGGATGAGCTTAGGCTTGAGCAGGCACGTAATGAGGCGCTCAACAGAACTGTTGAGACGCTCTCTGCCCGGCCTGCTCAACCGAGGCCCATTCGGATGGACCCTCCGAAGTTCGATGGAACTACCCCTCACACGATTGTTCACTGGTTATTAGCAGTTGAGCAATGTGAATTTGCGCAGCTCATCGAAAGACGACACCAGAATGGTGTCGTATGCCATGTCCAACTTGCGTGGCAAAGCGTCAGAGTGGGCATATTCTGCGCTGATGGCTAATGCTGATGCATTTCCATCATGGAAGATCTTTAAAACAAAGATTCGCGCCATGTATCTGCCGCCTAACAACGTTGTGTTGCTTATGGCGCGCTTCTTTGGAGCACGACAGGCGAAACGATCTCTGCAAGAATTTGTGCAAGAGATGCGTTCGCTGTCGGCGTCCATTAATGAGTAACCGATACCAGAGCGTATCAAGGTGGCCACGTTCATGAATGGACTTAGGCATGGCCCATCGCGTCAGGCCCTTTTCAGAAAGGTGTCAGCGACGATGGACGAGGCAATTGACATTGCCTTAGTTGAGGAGCAATCCTACAACAGTGCCTCGGCGACAGCCTATTACAGGCCGTCGACCGAAAGGTCTGATGCCACTCCTATGGAGTTAGGCAATGCAGATGTGATTTGCTACAAGTGCGGCAAGCGAGGCCATATGATGGCTCGCTGCTATGCCAAACTTGCTTCTGGTGCTAAGTCAGCCATCAAAAGGTCTCCCAACCCGAAGGGAAATGCGAAAAACCAGCGTGCACGACGCACGGGTTCAGCACCTGCCAAGATGGGTCGGGAATTGTGGGAGCATAGTAGGGACGGGATGCACTACTGTTGCGGACTCTGAAGCTACCCCTAAGTTCAGAGTGATCGAACAAATGGGTAGCATAGTCCCTGAGGTTCCGAAAGGTCGGACCTCAACCGATTTGGTCTATAGCGCTCGAGTACGAGGCTATGACCAAGTGATGACCCTTCTCCTGGATTCGGGTGCATCACAAAACTTTGTGAAACTCGCGGCTCTAAAAAAGAGACCGGCGAGTTATGAGTCGCTTTTCCAGGATGCAAGCGAGAAGAGGCGAACTTCGCTTAGCGAACGGCGCGCTCATTGAATCGGAGGGAGTTCAAGTTGAACTCTCCTTCAGCTTTAGTGACTTCTCTTGTAAAGAGAAGTTCACAGTGCTAGGTATGGAGAGTCCGTATGACCTCATCCTAGGCATGCCTTGGTTGGCTAAACACCAACCATGGATAGACTGGCGTACACGCACAGTCGCTAGTTCTACGCAAGACACCGGAAAGGATGTGCTCTTGTGAAAGGCTTGTGTGGCTGATGCTGTGTCCAACACAGTCGAGGGTGCGATGACGGTATGTCAATCGACACCAGGAACTACCCAGCTCGAAAGGAGTGATGTAGTTGGAAGTGCACTGGCGCGTAAATTCTCGGAAAAAAGCTACAACCGTCGTGTAACCCCGTTACTCCCTCCCCACCAAACTGACGTTCCCATAGAATGTCATTCGACATCTTTCCTCTTTAAGGTAGTGCTTTAGCGAACGTTAAAACCTTACGGTCTGTTCACGGCACATAACATGACGCCTCCTGGCACTGAGTCACAGACTCGACGAAATCTTATCGAAGGCGTCCTTGACGAAGCGGTTAATTACGAAAGGGACACCGTCTTTGTGGGACCCGATGGGTCCCCTTTAACCACACTAAAGTGTA